TGTAGGCTATGAACTCTGATGAAATACACTTTTGACTATACCTGTGGGCTTTATTCTGTCCCTTCTGGGAGGTCTGGAGCAGTGATTACAAGTTGATCTGGAAGGTGGTCAGTGCTGTTTTGGGAAGTGATATCAGCTACTTTCAAGAAACTATGGTTTACCCAACCCTAGGAAAGGGATGCACCTCCCTGTCTGTATTATCTTATGTTCAACCTTTCTCTTTGGGGGGAAGCTATTGAGACTGTGGTTGGAGTTCAGAAACAGAACATCCTAGGGGAAGCAGGTTAGCTATATATATTTTTCAGACAAGATCTTGGCTTGAGACTAAACCAGAATTAGCTGCTCTGATGAATGAACACTGTCATCTATGGGGAAGTGTATCTTTCATGGTTTTACTAGAACTTCCAGTGGTTGTCAAAACCATCAACCATGGTTTCCTTCTGGACCACTCATAAATATTAGAGGTTGGAAGCACTGGTTTGCAGTGATTGCACTTCTCAGTGAGGAGGTCCAGTGGGTGATAGTTGTGAAGGAGAGATTGTAGGAGGCTCTTGCAAACTAGTTGGTATGGAATAGGAAGGAGGCAATCCCACTTCAAATGAAGAATCAAACAGACAGAAGATAATGAAAATCTTTAGATGTCCCATTTGCAAAAACGGTCTTCCCTTTTTTTCAAAAAAACATTGTGCCTTTGAAAGAGACTGCTCAATCAGTTGTGTTTATATGTCATCCGTGAGTGAGAGAAAATATAGATTTCTAGTTTTTTAGCTAGTTTTCAGTGCAACTCTTCACAGTTGTAGCTGAAGATTCTGCAATTGACTTGTCTAAAATTAATTCCCAAAGCAGCTAGAGAGAGATCCTGCTGGGAGCTCTTGGGTGAGCTAACTTCTCAAAACCAGATTAGTTTTTGTGTTAAAACAATCCCTACAAAATATTTTAAGTAAACAGTAGACAATTCAGTTTTTTGGTAGATACTTAACAGCACTGAGGATTTAAGAGAAAATGCCCACAAATGGCTTTCCTTCTTGAAGAGAAAATTGACAACTGCTATGGCAGAGAATAATGTAAAAGAAACAGGTGCTCAATATTTCATTTCTATGCTGAAAATATTGATTGCATTTCTGCTTGTTGTGCAGAAGTGTCATTCAAAAAAGGCAAATTCCACAGATTTTCCCCAAAAATGTTTAAACACTTAGAGTTCTAATCAAAATCCCCATTGGTGGAAATTTATTTATTTGTTTATTCGTTTATCTAATTTTACTTAAATTACCAAAGCACAGTAGAAAACAGTAATGGCATTATAAGTAACTGAACATTATAAACAAATCCTGGCATAAGAAGGCATTTAATCTATTCAAATTTCTGAACAAACATTTGATAGAGACAGCAATTGCAATAAATAAGTGTTGTGGAAATGTATAGTGTTCAATTAGTTAACAGGAGAAGAGTTTACACCTCATAAAAGCTGGCTAATGAGGCTAAGAAAAGTATTATTTTTCCTCCTCCTCCTTCTCCCCATCATCAACAATTGGATAACAAAAAGGTGAGCTTTCTTTTATAATCTTAGAATAAGACATAATCTTGTAATTGTATTTATATTTGGTGCAAATGAAATTGGAAACTTCTATTTCTTTATTCTTTCTTTCTGTACTTTCACTTTTTTATTTCTTCTTACTTCCTTTGCTGCTTTTACTCCTTATTATGTTGTCTTAATTTTTATCTTCTTTGTAAACGTTTCAATTAAAAAGAAGGACATAAGAAAGTCACAAATTTGAATGTGTCTGTGAGTATGAAACACTGGGATAGAATGAAAGCTATTCTGTGGAACTGGCAAAGAATGTTTATTAAGTATTTAGTAATAGAGAACAACCTCCTGAAAAAACCCACTCTTAATGAGAACAGGATTTTGCTAGAATTGGGCTAAGCCAGTTTGATGTGTGAGTAAAGACATTGAAGAAAAAACTGGAAGAATCTTAAGTTCCACTCCTATATTAGAAGTATGAAGCTAGTATAGTGACTTTGAGTCAGTCTTTTCTCAGCTTAGGAAGAAGTCATTGGCAAGACATTTCTGAAAATGCTGCCAAGAAAACTCCATGAACTTTTCTGTGTAGTCATCAGAGTCAAGAGTGACTCAGGTACATATTCACATTTTCAAAGTTTGCTGAATTTTAATTCTGAGGGCTCTTCGTTGCTGAGCAGACTAGATTTTTCTCAGAACCAAATAAAGTCACTACTAGGCTGATAACTAATAATATTTTAAAGACATGAAAAAGCCTAACTTCCATGGAGATATACGATTAACTGTAAGCTTAAGGTGGGCTAAGTATCCATTTAAAGTCATTTAAACCAATATTCTAACCAGCAAAGCATATAGGTCACCCCAGGAATTAGGTCAGTCAGGAATTTAATATGCAGGAAGCACTTGCAATAAAGCTCTAAAAAATTAGAGTAAAGTAGTCATGTACAGCTTAAAGAACAAGCCTGCGCATCATATAATAATAGCTAATAAAAGGGTTTTTTAAAGGTATGGCAGCTGGTATATAGTTATTGCCACTGCAATTAGCAAAGGGCCGAACTGTGTTTTAAGGTTTATGGGCTCTAGGTGATCTACTATTGCTGATTTTTCAAGTCACTAAGGCTTGGAAAAATATAACCAAATATTTAAAGACTTTATTTTGATTAATGTTAACAACATTTTCCTAGAATGAGGAAAAGTCCATTACAAAACATGACTACTTTAATTTTATTCAGTGGTGGGATTCTGCCGGTTCGGACGGGTTCACGCAAACCGGTAGTTCCAACGATCAGTTGGCCCCGCCCATACCCCCCCCCCGCTCTATCCTGTCCTTTATTTCTTGCTTTATAGCTCATGTCAATCACGAGGCACAACTGATTCCCCCACCCGCTGTTCTACCTACCATTGCTGACTTGGAAGGTAAGTAGCTGAGCTTCTAAATGCTCCATTTTCAGTGCTGTGTGCAAGCGTCTTAGGTGTGCGTGCACTCACCGACCTGGTTGTTAAACTGGCAGCATCCCACCACTGGTTTTATTGTAATAGATAACCTGTTGCTCCTTGCTGGAATAAGAAGCAAGACCTCCAAGAGTTTATCTCAGGCTCACTGGTATTTAAGAAAGGACTGCTACAACATTTACATATAGAAGGATGGAAAGATGTCAGTTATTTAGCCAGGGAGGGGGAAGGAAACTCAGGATTTAACCAAGAAATTAATATAAAAAATAGAAAAGGGGGAGAGCATCAGAATGCAAACTTTTCTCACATTTTGTGAATGTGGTTTATTAATGAGAGGTGACTTGAAGCCTCAGAGCAAACTCATAAAGTATTATATAGTTTTCAAAAGGCACCAGTCATTAGAAGCAGCATTCTTTTTCTCCATGGAGTATAGGGAGCCAGAAGCTGCCTTTGAATCAGTGGAGAATCATGCATGGATGAACAACATATTTTTCTGTAGAAGATGAAAACTAAGACATTGACTGAGCTGTAATTGCTCCTCCCTGAAACTGGCTTCTTTTTCTTCCAGGATGTTGTGTTGCACCAACCAGTTTAGGGGTTTTCCATGGAAGTGCCTGACATAACCTTGCTAATTACACTTAATAGAGGCAGAAGAAAATTGGAGGATTCTTATCTTCTTTTCTGCAGATTGAAATAATGATGAGTTTGTTCCAGTCTTCAGGGATCTAGTAAAAATACTCTCTCTATAGAAATAAAGCTATCAAGATTGGGGCCCCCATTTAGCCTTTTTGTAGGATTAGACCCTTTCAGGCTGCTTTGTCATTTTTTTAGTTGTGAGATAAACGTGGCTACCTCAAGAGGAAACACCAGGGCCTAGAATGCTATGTCAGGCAAGCAGTGATCTAATAAAATCAGAAGTTTGGGCACAGTGCTAAGCAAAAATATTATGTCTATACTTCAGGGCCTCAGGCAGTAGTAGCTTTTCAGCAAAAGCTGTAGAATTATTTCATTTTATTGCCTGGCTGAGCTCTACCAATTAGTTCTACGAGCCTGTAACTGCATATTCATGGTGAAGCGATGACTTGGAGAGGGATTTGGATTCTTGGGCTTTAGGTGAAATTTGAGCATGGTGAGGGACCTTCTAGATTATTGATTAGTATCTCAGAATTATTCAAAATATTCAAAGTGGGCTGTTCACCTCAAATAGCATATGGATGATGGCTAAGATTTATTTTATTTTTTATTTTATTTTATTTTTATTTGATTTGATTTGTCAATCGCTTACAAGAAATAGGTATAAGGATAAACATAGTTATGAATACATGAAATGAATACATATTAGGAAATACAAGATGATGCATAACTGGAGGACATTCATTTTGGAAAAATTCATATAAGGCAGCCTCCTTCAAATGAAAGAAAAGAAAAAAACTATGAGGAAAGAGGGAACTATTAAGCTTGAAAAGATGCAATGACTGTATTATGATTTCATAATTATTTTCCTTCATTTTTATAATTAAATAATGATTAAATAATTACATTATAAAATCTTAATTCAGTAATAGAATTAACCAAGGAAATATTTAATAGAATAAATCAAGAAACTATTTGCAAAGAAGGCACAAGGGTCTCAAAAAAGCACTATATCAATCAAGTAAATAAAACAAGCTCAGGAAGTGTGCTAATAAAAGCAATACACAAGTGTAAAAAATTATTTTAAAAGCACCAGCTATTTTTATTTGGAAGAAAAAATAGTCACCCTTGAGAAACAAGATCTATGCACATTTCTTAGCCCAATTTTCTCTTCCTGTGAATGCTCCCATATATGTTGCTTGTGGTCTGCAGTCCACTTGGGGCAATTAATAATAGAGAAGTCCATTGTGGAGCTAGGGTCACATATTAGCCCTTTCTTCAAAATTAAGAGAGAAGGGGAAAGATTTGTAAAAGGTAAAATGAGTCCAGTTGAGCTTTCTCAATATTCTGTATGAGTCAGGATAAACAACAGGCAAACAGGATAAACAAATCAGGATAAACAACAGATTTATTAAAATAGATGTGATGAATAGTGTTCCTGGAGAATTCTGGAACAAAATTTGTGATATTATTAAGGACAAACCAATAAAAATATTTTGCATTAGAGATATCAAAAGAAGAATAAATGCAACCATTTATTCAATACAATCCATTGAATCTGAAAGAACAAAAGTGATAAGGAGATATATCTAAAAACACCCAACATAGAAAGACAAAATACTCATTTAAAGAAATTAAAGAAAGAAAAGTTTTATGCGTAGATGGGTACCATCAAAAATATGATAATTCTACGTGATACAAAGAAATATTAGAACAAATTTATGAACTGTATTGAAAAAAATGCCCAAAATACCAGTGGGTCTCCACTAAATGAAGCCAGACAATTTGAAAAATGAAATGAAATGGCTTGCAGAAAATATTGTTAACTATATTCTACTATAGTGTCAATGAAATGCTATGAGTACAGTTTAAAATTTTATGATGCTATTAATATGCTGCTTACAGGTTTTTTTTAGCAAGTATGAGAACAGCAGCAGCAGCCAAAAGACTGGATCAGATCCAACTATATTCCAATAACAAAAAAGAGAGCGTTAAACCAAACTCATTTCCATGGCTAGTAGAATTTGAGTTACAAAACTACTTTAAATTTTGTTTACTGATTACAGGTAGTTCTCATTTAATGTTTGCCTAGTTTAGTGATTGTTTGCAGTTACAACAGTGATGAAATTACTTGCTTTTATGATCTCCCAGGTTTGTAAAACAAAGGAAAGTTGAAGTAAGATCATAAGCACAGTTGTGATTTCACTTATTGACTGATTCCCAATTTTGGTCCCTAAGCAGGAATACCTGTATACATTATTTTTTCTACTGCATGAATTTGAGCAACTTGTGAACTGCATATAAGAGAACCTCATTTCTATTTAGAATGACTTAAGGAACAACTAACTGGCTCAAAGACAGAATAAAGAACCATGTTAAGATTGTATACTGCCATCTTATCTACCCAGTTTATATGCAGAACCTATTAATGAAAAATTCTGAATTAGGAGAAATAAAACTTGAATTAATATGGCTAAAAATGCTGTTGATACCACTTGAATATCTTGAAGTGAAGAAGAATTGAGGAATATCTATTAAAGAAGGACACAGGATGCTCTGATGCTCAGCTTAAACAAACAAACAAGCAAACAAACAAACAAACAAACAAACAAACTGAGATGACGTTAACAGGTGCCAGCCCAAAGCCAAAAAGTGAAGAAGTATTACTATACACTTAATCTTCAGGGGCTCAAGAATTCATAATGATAATAAAAAGATATATACTTCTTGGAAGAGGGCCTGGCAAACCTAGACAAAATATTAAAGTGTAGCTGCTTTGTAGAAAATGGAAGCAGCACTTGTCCATAGAGGCATTATGTATAACTTGTATAATGTAATGTACAATTTATTTCAAACTTTGAAAAATGTGCACAAATATAAACATATTGCCTTTGATCTTAGGCTTTGATCCTAAGGAAAGCAGTATCAGTCAAAGTTTGTCCTGTCATACTCCCGGGTTGGCTAGAGTGAAATTCAGAAGAGCTTTTTAGGCCTCTTGCAACTAAGAACCTGCATCTTTTTGGAAATGAAGAATGGATGAAACTTTAATTTCGCTTCCATTGCTCAGTGTAGTCATAGTATTCTGGAAGGAGAAAATTGCATAGATTATCTTGACAGAATTTCTAGCAAAGGAAAGGTGCTTACACTGCCACTGGCCTCATACTTCTCTTTGCTTTCCTCTTATCCCCCATCTCCTTTTCCTAGTAAGAACATGGTTCTTTCACATCTATAAAAATATATTTTAAATAAATTCAAATATTATTTAGTCAATGTTGGCAATGCAACATCAAGAACCTGGGAGAATTTACAACAGTCCTACATGCCACTCTGATCTCCCGCAATAAAACATGATAATAAAAACTTTGTTGAATTATAAATGGTTAAATCATGCAAGATTACTAAATATCATAAAATCTCTGTGCTTTCAGTGGCAATCTTGCAAGATTTCATAGGAAATGTATAGAATCTGGTGAAATTGCTAATACTTTTAAATTGCTAATACTTTAAAAAATAATGGTTATTGTAAAAAAAAATAGTTACAGCCTTGTGACTGTAAAGTTGTATACTGCCTAAAACAGTCACCAATTTGTGATACAAACTGAAATATTACAGTTTCCTCTGATTAGGCTTGATTTGACTTTTCTAGTTTACATTCATCTAGATCAGTGTAGTTACATCTTCAAGCTGCTAAGATTGAGACTTTGTAGTAAATGGCCAAACTGACATTAAGCCAGTGCTGAAATTACCAGGGCAAAAAGACTCTATAACTCCGCCTGTATCAGAAAGATATGATGGGAATAATGAAATGAAATGAAATTGTGGTCCATCCACTACAACCTTACCTGAAGCTGGTAGTACATCGGCTGTGACTGTTCCAGTGGCACTTGGTGGTGGGGGTGGGGGTACTACTTGACTAGATAAATATAAATTAAAATGGGATATTAATAGTACAGCAGGCAAGAGGGTGGGAAATATTTGTGGCTAATTCTCAATACCCATGGGAACTATCTTACACTGATAGTTCGGCTTATTTTAGAAAATACTAATTTCAAGGTCCTCAACTTTTTTGTTTAAAGCCAGTTTCTTCCCTTTTATTAAATTAGCAGAAATTTCATCCGATCTTGTCTTTGAAATGTCTAATAAAATACTAGGAGCCAAATAAAGCTTCTAATATTGCTGGATTTTTTGTTCTTTCTAAATATAAGGGGACACAGTGGCTAAGATGCTGAGTTTGTCAGTCAGAAAGGTCAGCAGTTTGGTGGTTCGATTCCCTAAACAATGCAAGTATGCTTCACTTGGCTTATCATAATCTAAAGAAGGTCCCAAGTCCAGGTACATCTTAACTTGCACTTTTTATGATGAATATTACCATTTTACCACTTGCCTTATCCTTACATGTTTTATATGCAACATTTGGATGAATTATGGCAATATATAATAGAGTACTGAAATGAAACATTTCATTTGATTGGTTATATTCTTTTTCCCATCTGCACAGTTTTGCTCACCCATCATCTTGTCTCCTCATTGATTGAAGATCTGGCCCCACATGGTGAATGATGGGCTGCTGCTGTGTCAAATCTGAAGACTGAGATGGAGGTTTCCATGTTCTGAATGGAAGGGTGCTTGGATATGGTGCATAATGGTGGTGGAATACCATCTCAATCTCATCTTCCTGCTCTGTCTGCCAGGGGGTAAGGGATATCTGCTAGAAAGAAAGATTAGGACACTTAAGGCAGTGGTCCTTATCTCAAGGATCATAAACCCCAAATGGTTTTACCTGTGGCTGCCTTCAAATAGTCCTTTTAATAAATTGGTATTTCCTGTTGCAACAGCATGAGGTGAGCAATATACTGAAGTGAGATGATTCAACCTTTAAGGAATAGTAAAAACCTACTTTTACTTTCATAGGCTAGCAAACTATTACTTCTGAGTGTCTTTCTCTGGCCACCTTCTCCAGCCCTTTCCAATTCTCAGTATTTGTCCTCTCTCCTTCCTATAACTCATAATGGCCTTGACTTAGAAATCTGTTTATGTTCAAGTCTATTAATATTGCTGTTGTGACTGTTTTAGGCAGAACATCTGCAGTAGGTAAAAGAGACATTCAAAAGGTGAGTTGTGAAAATAATAATTTATTATGCATAATAATCATAATTATGGATCACAAAGTTAGCCCCAGATAAATTTTGGATCCAGATCAGAAAAAGTTGAAAACTTCTGAGAACTGACTTGGTGCATCACATTCCTTTATTTCTCATGCGTAGAAAGACATGGATGTCAAGTCAGGGCTTGGAAGCAGTCAGCTGTTGAAGTTAGACCTTGAAGTCATGAGTACTAAAATTAATTTTATTATAAGTTACAGTAACAGAATCTTGCAATCTAAATGTATTTCTCTTCCCTCTTCCTTTATCTTAAGAGAATTGTGGATGGTCATACCTGAAATACTTTTTCAAATTCTATTTCTGCATTGGAGTCAGATTTGTTTTGTCTGACTTTGTCTTGGCTGCAACTCTTCCTACTGTTCCTCAAAGTCATTCTCACATCCAGTTATACATGCTGGGTCATTCAGTATTTTATGGACTTTAAATATATTTCAGATGATATGTCATTGCTTCATATATATCTGTTCTTGCCTATATTCATTAGTAGCTACATTTCACATGCTAGGCCAGGAGTGTCAGATTCAATTTCATTGAAAGCTACATCACAGCTGTGTTTTAACTTGGCGGGGGTCGGGGGTGTGTATCCAGGTGGGCTTGGCAATGGTGGGTATGGACAGCTTGATATCACTCATGTCGAGGGCACTTGTGGTGGCCCAGGTGGGGCTGGGGGATCCACCTTTGCTAGTAGTTTGTTTTGCTAACACTCTGCCAGTGAAAATGGAGCTGGGGGGGGCATGTGGCCCCCTGGGCTCAGGTTTGGCTGTGATGGTTTCCTGCAGCCCTCTGCCAGCAAAAAGGGCCTCTGCACATGGCCCTCCCAAGCTCCATTTTCACTGTCAGAGGCACTTCAGTTCTTCGCTGTTTCCAGGTGGCCCTAATCTAATCACTCCATGGGCTGAATCTGGCCCATGGGCCTTGAGTTTGACACCCCTGTGCTAGATAGCCAATTAATTTCAGAACAACAAAATTATTATGCATCAGAAATATCTCTTTGTAACAAAACTAGGCACATTCATTCTCACAACAGACTTAGATTTAAGGATGGAACCTATAATGTTGTCACTGAAAAATGGCAATCTATTCCATGATGGCTTCTGATATTTATGACCAAGGCACATGTTTTTTCTGCTCCCCTGCCCATCAGTTGAAGCCAGTAGAAGGCAAGACAGTTGGCACAGAAATGCCTCCCCCCCACCCTGTTTTTTCTGTATCAACTCTTCTGTCGTATGTAAAATTCATCCTAGATCAACAATCTACCTACCTGGCTTGGGTTGTGTTCAAAACATGCTGCTGCTGACATAGCCAAATTGTTCATTATCACTTGATGCATCTGGGCATTTTGTATCATCATTAGCTCTATTAAATCTTCCAGAAATTAAGAATACAATCAATATGCATTGATTTATTTATACATATAAACAAACAGCAATATCTAATATGAAAGAAGGAATTACAGAACCATTAGAGCAAAGGTGCACAACCTGAACTTATAGCATCACACACAGTCTCACAAGCTATCAGTATTTTCAGATTCCAATGTTCATGAGAGAAAGGAAAACTTTCTAAATACTTCACTGCAAAAACATATTAACTATATTTAGTTTTAATTAAATACAAGTGAAATGAAATCAAAATTAGTTTTAACATTGCACTTCCATCTGTTCAAAGGCCAAGTTTGATTTTCAGCAAAGGAGAAGCTGTGCACACTTGTTTTAGAGCTTAATGTTTAAAAATTGTGGCATTTTAATACATTAAATTTAATTTGAATAAATCAAATAAAACTACAAAACAAATGTAGCATAAAAAAGAAAACAGCAAGCCTTAGAATATAATAAATTATAGCATTTTCAGACAAACTCAGATTAAAATTGAAACATTCTCAAGTTTTACTCTATGTTTCCAATGTGTTAATAGATCTGCTCTCAAAGTAGTTATACATCTAATCCACTAAGAACAAGAAAAGTGGCTGTTCTAAACACATGGCAGGAGATTCATAAAGCTGTTTCAGATTATTTTCAAGGGTTACCAATTAGCCACTTATTGTAAGGAAATAACAAATATTTTGCTATTGGACTATGCATTGCTCCTCCAGATTATCATGCAGCAATTACATGGCTTAATGTATCATTGGAATCAGTTTTAAGACAATGACTAGTACCTACTGACCAATATCGGTAGCACAGTAGTGAACATGAGCATTTCAAATGGGGTAGAGATGTATGTCTAATAGTGCCTCATGCACATTTTATTGCAATTTCTCATCTTTTTTTGTTTGCAATAACTGATAGTGACAATATTCTATTTTATAATTTAAAAAAACCCATAATAGAGTGGCAGAACTGGAAAAGTATTGTTGCAAGATTATCTTGCAAAAGTCAAAGCACGTTTGTAACTTCCTACATCAGTTGAAGACTCAAGAGATTTGCATCATTTTGTATGTTAAGAAAAATATTTAGATCATGTGTGGAGCTAAAAGCAATTTATATCAGAAACATAAAAAGTTACATACTTGCATTATAAATTACTATCATATTTTTAAACCATTATTAGAATACATTATTTATTGATATAATAGATTAAGAGATAGATTCAAAAATAATGTAAACTTTAAAATATTCTGAATTTATTCATGTTCAGATAGTAGTATGGAGTAGAGTAGAGTTTTTTTCAGACTAGTAACACATAGATATGTTCCAAGATAATCATCTTTTTCTTTTAGGATCTCTTCCTTCCACCAAACTCAGTGCTCTAGCAAATTTGTAATCCTGATTTCTTACTTTCTTTAATGTAGCTTGTGCAGCTGGACTGAGGAAGTATCCATGGCATCTGATGGAGAATGGTCAGTTCTGGCTCTTGAGTAATCTGAGAAACAATGGAAGGAAATTCAGAGAAGACTGTTGTGGAGACCCGACTCTTGCCACTTTTTCCCTGAATAAGCTTCTGTCATTATTGTTGTTTTATACAGAAGTTATACATCTGATTGAGCTAGATTAAAACTTAAGCTAAATGCACAGCTAGGAATCCCTGGCTTATTTCCTCCCAGTGAATGTAATTTTGAATGGATGGGATCCAAGTTCTTCTGATGGTTAAACAATTCCAAACAGCAATGTCGGTCTACATACTGTGAATCTCCCAGGAATCTTTTGCTAGATCAGAGTGGTCCTTTTCTCTCTCTTACACCAGGATGACTTTTCAGGATCATTCTTTACAATGATGCTGTCATACCTTTCACCATCTCCTTAAAGAGAAGCTTTATTCAGATTTATGATCATGGGCAAAACTAAACCCTGTGGGATTTAAGGATTCCACGGAGGGCCCATTTGCTATAAGCCTCTAAAACTAGATTTTCTCCAAGATTCCCAGAATAACCTGTTCTAATGCCTACTGATGCCATCCCTTGCTCTCCCTGTCTTTCAAGTCAGCATGTAGGACAAATTCACGAAAACCAGAACAACAGTTTAAGTTAAACACTGATTTAAAGAACATCTGAACAACATTTGCATAAGCAGATTGACTAATTAAATTCATCAACATAGTAATGAATAAAATTAACATTTAAATAGTTTAATAAAACTGAGACTGCAAATGGGTAAACAATGTTTGTATTTCCAAACCCCCACCCTCTGAATTTGCCCCTTTGGCTACACTGCCCTTTTCTGATCTTCAGTCATTCAGCTGTTTCCCTCTGCTCAAGATACCTTCTTGAATTTGAGACAGAGACTCCATATTTTGGGTTCTTGTTTCTAAACTGAATTACAGAATTCCTGCTGCATTGCAGGAACCCCGTCAATTGGACAATTTGGTAGAAGTCTCCTCCTACTGCACCACACAACTTCCCTCTGTGATGTACAGCATTCAGGAGGAAATTGCACACTTTAGCAGAAGGGAGGCTCCTGCTTCATCAGACAATCCACAGCATGCCTGTCAAGCTATCTTTAAACCTGATTTAGTGCTCTTTCACTTCACCTAGAAGCTGATGAAAGATGGTGTTGTACATAAAGCATGATTCCTTCTCCTGTGGCATTGCACAACTCCTTTCCTGTGCTTGTCAGCAATTGGACTAGTAATTTTTAAACATTTTAAAACACAATTTTGGTGATTTAGAGAAAGAACACTTAGCCCATAATTAAAAATAGCCCACCTAACAGCTGACAGAGTAGTAGAAGTGCTCCTCTGATTTCATTGCAGAGGCCTTCCCTTCATCCCCATCATTTATTCATTATGTCAATTCCTCTTTCCAAGACTGGAAGACCTAGTTTAGTTCAATGGGGGAGTATCATTTGGAATAACTACTACAGGCTCTCCTATAGCTCACAGCTGAAGAGCTCTGGAAAATGTGGAAGTGCCCATGGAAAAGAAAGGACGAGGCAGGCCTGAGCCATCCCAAAGTGGGCAGTGGATGCTGAGCCAGTCCCTGGCCTGGGAGGTGCTAATGGAATGATTGGTGAGAGATGTCCAAATATATTTACAATTAAAAAAAAATGTATTAGAAATTTACCTCAACATTAATACAGCTAAGGACAACTTGAAGGCCTCTCAGATATGGGCTACAGATGAAGGCAACATCGTCATGATATGGCAGAAAAAAGAAATCATGTTTCTTCCTGAGTAGATGATGGGAGGGATGTGTGTGTTTTGAGATGCCTCTCAGGACTGCTGCCAGGTGAAGATGTTAAACAAAGCTACTTGTCAGACAAAAATTTCTAAGGGCAATTGGGCATGGCACAACTATTTGCCATCTATCGGTATATTCTGTGGGCATAAGTCTACACAGGGTTTTTCTATCACCATTTTCAATTGCCAGAAAGGTGGCCAGGTTAGTTTTTCACTGCAATTGCAAAAGAGATCTGTGCGATTTGATTCACTTATTATCACATAAGCTTTAATATATCTATTTACTTCATCAGCTTAATTAAAGCAGGGATATTATACCTAACTCCTCCAGTATCGACAGCTACGTTATATGAAACTGCTCTCTCTGACTGTTTTCCCTCCCTCTGAGGGAGTGGATAGAGATATATTAAATTTTATGCATTAATAAATATGCTAGACTTTTAGATGACACAATAATTCTTGCTATATTTTCATTTTCTTTTCTCCATTTGGGACTCAGGATGGGTGTTACAATTAGTTATAGCATATGACATACATTGTCCTTTCCATTATGGTCTAGCCTAGTCTATCCTACAGAGAACACACAGAATTTGGTGACCACTCAGAACTTTTCTTGGTTGGAACTGAATTAAGAAGACATACAGGATTACAGAGGATCCTTCTCTCTGCTGCTCAGAGTGAGATACCTTTCAATATACCCACCCACCACAGTGACTTACTGGTTGCTGAATGAGGTAGACTTGTGGGGAGACAGCACTGTTGCCCCCTGGATTCATAGCAAGGTCTCACTGGTCAATAGAAAAATCAGCAGGAAGAAAGTTGTCAGACTGGTTACTAAGGGAGCTGTGGTTAAACATACCTAGCCTTCCCTTCCTGCAGGTGTTTTTCCTCTTTCAGTTTATAATTAGCTTATCAGGAGCATTGAGTTTACCTAGCAAATAATACAATAATCACAGTACTCTCCCAAAGGTTAACTCTGAGTCTCAGTATTAATTCTAAGTCACTTGATTTTATTTTTAGATTTTTGCCATTCAAGTATGCTTGTCAAATACAAATGGATTGGGAGGGTATATTTTCCAGATAGACATTGGCCTGTTTCCCATGTGAAAATAAGGTTGTTTTCTAAGACATAATATTTGTTAAAGAAAGGGGTTGGCAGAAGAAATAAAACAAGTTATCTACCAGTTGTCTGAGTGCAGCACATTTTGGCTTGATTATCCTTAGCTAGATTTTGGCTGGTCCCAACTGGGAAAAACATGGGTATACCACCCAAACAGCTAAGCTCTCTTCCTTTATGAAACAGCTTGTCTGCTCAAAAGTTCTGGCTAAGTTCATAAAATTTGCTCAAAGTAGTTACTGAACTGGCCCATCGTTGTCTAGATTTACACAAAGCATTAAATCACACACTGAATTAACTGGATGGGTTGATGCAACACAGAAAGAGAGAAGGGGAGAGAAAGGAGGGTGAGGAGGGAGAGCTGCTACTAACCAAGAAAACATGTCCTGTGAAGGCAGTCCCCCAAGATGTAGTTGGGAGAACATAGCCCTTGTGTGCTGTAGGGAGTCACAGCAGCTGCTTCTCATCTAGAGAATGGGTAAACAAACGGCATGAAGGAAAGTGGTGGTAGTGTTTTGAATTTTAATCTTCCAACCTTGTATTGACTTTATTTATTTATTTGATTTGTCAATCGCTTACAAGGTAATAGATATAAGTATAAACATGAGTAAGAATACAGGAAACAGGCACGAATAAATGGGGACAATAGGACAGGGATGGTAGGCACAATGGTGCACTTATGCACGCCCCTTACAGAACTTTTAGGAATGGGGTGAGGTCAATAGTGGTTAGCTTGAGGTTAAAGGAGTGGAGGTTAGAGGATGTAACAACAGAGTCAGGTAGTGCATTCCAGGCATTGACCACTCTGTTGCTGAAGTTGTATTTTCTGCAATCAAGTTTGATGCGGTTTACATTGAGTTTGTATCTGTTGTGTGCTCTTGTATTGTTGTGGTTGAAACTGAAGTAGTCATTGACTGGTAGGACATTGTAGCAGATAATTGTGTGTGTTACACTTAAGTCTAACCGTAGATGGTGTAGTTCAAGGTTGTCCAAGCCCAAAATCTCAAGCCTGGTGATATAGGGTGCAAACTCCAGACTGATCAACTGTATTCAAGTATTGGTCTGGCAAAAGTTTTGTATACTCTAGTTAGCAATTTGATATTTCCGAAGGAGAAGCTCGTAAGATTAGATTTACAACTCTTAATGCCTTTTTGGCAATGCTGTTACAGTGAGCTCTGGCGCTTAGGTCATTTGATATGAGAACTCCAAGGTCCTTGACAGAGTGAGGATCATCAACAAGGTCATATCCGCCTAGTTTGTATTTGGTGTACTGATTTTTTTTACCAATGTGTAGGACAAAGCATTTGTTGGTCAAGATTTGGAGTTGCCAGATGTTTGACCATTCATAATCAAGGTCGCTTTGAAGGATAGTAGCATTGTCAGTGGTGTTGAATAGTTTTACGTCATCCACAAAGAGGACGCAGTTGCTTATAAGGTGATCGTAAAGGTTATTTATATAGAGTATAAAGAGTGTGGGTCCTAGAACGCTGCCTTGGGGGACACTGCTATTAACTGGAGCAGGGTTTGATATAGCGCTTTTTACTATTTGTTGCCTGTTTGACAGGAATGCAGTAATCCACTTATGGAGAGATCCAGAAATGCTGTAAGAGTTTAGTTTTAACAGTAGTTTGTCGTGTACCACTGAATCAAAGGCTTTGCAGAAGTCTACATAAATTGCGTCTATAGCTTTACCCTGGTCAAGTAGAGTAGTCCATATGTTTTTGCAGTGTAGGAGTTGTAGATTGCAGGACAATTTTTTCCTGAAACCAAATTGTTTTTTGGAGAGTAGGTTGTTTGACTCTAAGTGGAGAATGATGAATTGGTTAATGATTGATTCCATGACTTTGCACGTGACACAACACCATGAGATTGGTGTGTAGTTTCCAACCAGGCTGGGGTCACCTTTTTTGAAGATAGGGATGACTGTAGCTGAGGACCATAGGTTTGGTAAGGAGCTGGTTCTGAATGATATCTCATATATAATGCTTAGGGGTTCCGCTATGGCAGAGGAGAGCTTTTTAAAGAAGTATGCACATAATCCATCGGGGCCAATAGATAGGGATGGTTTTATGTTTCGTAGTGCCTTTTCTGCATTATCTTCTGTAAAGTCAATATGTAGTAGGTCATTACAGTTAGTTGTGGTGCGATTAGGAAATGTGGGGCATGAATCATTGTTGTTTACAAAGACTGAACTGAAGAATGTGTTAAAGAGATTGGCCGTAACAGCTTCATTGTTGCAGTCTTTCCCATTTGGTCCCACTTGTGTGAAGAAAGAAAGTGTGTAGAGTCTCACCTTTCCAGAAAAACTCCTGCTCCACCACAAACCTATTTGACCATCCCGTTACAATGTTGAATTGTTTAATGAGATCTGATGTCATCAACCTCTTCTGTTGAGACTCTGTTCTAGAAAGATTAAATGCAAACTTTTCCAATCAAATAAGGTAAGGTAGTGTGCACTTCAGAAAAATGAAAATCAGATAAAAAATTGATCTATCCTTTTATAATTGTACAGTGTTCCCCCTAATTAGGCAGAGTTTTTCCAGGAACTGAAAATATTCTGCAGTATCAGCCAGCATTACTACACTGGTACAAGTTAGGGGAGAATTGCTAATTAGCTGAAAAAAATAAGCTTAGGCAGAACAAGGAGATAAGTGAATAGACTATCACCAGGAGTGATACTATATATGCCTTGAGGGCTTCTTGCACAAGAGTCATAGAACTGGGAGGCTATATAATGTTATGGCATAAATTCAATTAAATCACAATTTCTGCTTTTATGACTTGTTCATTGGGAGGTTTTTTGCTCCTTCCACAACCTGTGAATCTATTCTTTGCCTCAAAAAGACCATATTTCTCCCGTCTCACTTTACAGAAGTGTAGCTGAGGAAGATTTTCTGAGTTTTGCTTTGTTTCTTCTGTTCTAAATTAACCTGTCTCCTAATAAGGTTATTTTTCACTAAGGAAAAGATGGCTGTCTGATTAAGTGGATTGTTGGATTAGGCAGGCACAAGGATAGACCTAAAGTCTGATACACCATGGGGAAAAACATCTTAACTTGGAAGAGTGGAAAGACTTAAAGGCAAAATAATTTAGAAGCGAAACCTACAATTTGCTCTCTTGTTCAAAAGAGGCAGAATTAAAATCATGCAGGATAATTTTGTTCTCAATTTGGGGAGCCCCATAGGAGAATTGCTAAGGCATGTGCATCCTTTTCAAACAGCCTACTGGTCATGGGATGATCTATGTTGAAAATACAAAGGATATGGGTCATATTCATATCAAATGTATTAGCCGATGATGGCAATAGCTTGTAGGTTTGTAAGGAGTTTCTAGGTTAGAGATCCTAATTTATATGTAGAAAAGCAGGAATATTCTTGGGAATAATTTTGTTTGGGCTGTACCTGGTGCATACTAATAAAATATGTCCCAATTCACTGGCATTATCTTCACTATTATCAGGGAATGCTTCCTCTGTTATGTTTTCAGGCTGTATCATGACTCAACCTAATCTAAAATATGCTACTCAAAAATCATGATAGATCAAAATCATGATGAATGGCAAAGTCGGTAAGTATGGGCTTATCTGTTGGCAAAACTGGCATATGGAAGATTGTAATGTGGAATGTAAAAGAAGTAAATAGTAAAGTGAGTGCAAATGAGATGAACCTATTTTTATCTGTATAACAAAGAGAATCAGAAGAGATGTAATTGCTTTGAAGAAAGATAATCTGATCATATGGACCGGAATTGATTAATGCACACAGATAAGAGAAGGTAGACGTTTAATTATTAGTGACATAATTATGACTGACATGTCAGAAAACATGAACAGATATTTTTTAAAATATTGTGGATTCAGAATGAAATAAGAATGTGTAAGTTGGTGATAATTTGCATATTGTAGTAGAAGAACTAAAGATGAGTTTTGGGGAAATATGTGCAACTTTTTAAATAAATGCTATGGCAGGGAGTGACATGAATGGATGGGAGGTCAAGACAAGTGTTTGCAGATTGACTGAGCCATTTGAAAATCCATGAATAAGGACAGTGATAGTGTGTTGGGTACCTGCTTAGAAAAATGCATGTTTGCTTCAAATGTATGATGTAAGCATATGTCTCTTCATGAGTACACATGGAGAATAAATGATTTGAAGAACATGATTGATTTGATTGGTTATGATGAAACTCAAGAGAATTAATGAAGGATGTAAAAGTGATAAGAGATTCTGAATTACTTGGTAGTGTTAAAAGTGGTTGTAGGGGGAAATGATATACGTAAAAGAAAATAAAGAAGTGAAAACAGTTTGAATGCAGTTGAATGCAAATTAATAATTAAATTAATCTTCCAACAATAAAAATAGAAATTGGACACAATGGATGTGAGAGCAGCTTGAAATAGATGACAAAAATGGAATCAGAAAACAAATATATGTGGAAAAAATATATGGGATGCAAGGAAGGGGAAGGTTGGATGGAATTAAAAAACAGGAGAAATATTAAAATACAAATCAAAAGACAATAGGTAAATCAACAAACAGGCATAGTGAAGGCAAGGATGCTTTGCAAGTATAGAAGGAACGAATGGGCATGGGGGGTTGGTGTGTGGGTGTGGGTGGGTGTTTTATACTCTTATTTCTGAGTAAATGTGGCAAAGATTACGATAACCATATATTTGAAAGTTCATATTGCTTAATTTACTGTAGAGACATACCAATTTATTTTTAT